CAGACTGTTACAATCACATTGAAGATAAACTTGTCTTTTAGAACATAACACCTTATTTTATTTATTTCTCTTGTGGCTTAGAAACTAAATTATGACATTCAGGTTGTATTCGCATTAAAGTTGTACAAAGACCCACATCATATGGCTTTGTGGGGACCAAAGGCTGGTCGTAATTCAGCAAACCCCAATTTTTAATGTTGGAGTGAATTAACTTTAGGTTAAGGTTAGTAATATACTGATAATTGTTAATGTTAGGGTACAAATCACAGTTAGGTATAAATGCAGTAACTAAGATAGCTATAAGTCAATGTGAATATATACAAACATGTCTGAGTGTGACCATGTTTTCGCAAAATTGGTGTAACAATTCCTAAGAAATCTGCTACATTTTCAGGAATTATAGGTACTTGTGGGGACCAACTACTAGCCACCATGAGGAAAGGTTCTTTTCTTGGGATAAGGGTTAGGATTAGAACTAAGGTATGAATTGAGTTTAGGTTAGGTTTAGGGATGTGTTGCTTATGGTTAGGGGTTAGGGCATAGAAATGAGTGGGAAATGAAAGAAAAGTCAAAGGAAGGTCCCCACAAGGATATTGTGACACAAAATGTGTGTGTGTGTGTGTGAGAGAGAGAGAGAGAGAGCGTGACGGCTGTGTGTGTGTGGATTAAATATGTATAAAGCATGCATGTTTAATGCATGGTTTATGCCTGTGGCATGGCAGGTTATATGTGTCAGTCATACAGGCTAGATAAAGTTAAGTAACAGAAGTTATATACATAAAGCATAGAGCTTTTTTAGATTGTTCAAATGATGCTTTGAAAGTACCAATTTGCTGATTAATGTGAACAGTACAGAAATGTTCAGGGAAAATTTGAAACAAATAATTTTGGTTTACTAAAATCTAAGTCATTTAAAATCATCCTAAAGGATTTAGGGGAAATCTAAAAAGTTCCCCTGAACAAAATGGACGTCCTGTTCAATACAGATTATGGTTTATCTGCACAAAATCTCAACTTTTCTCTCTGAACCTGATTAGCTTCTCAGACAGAAAACTATAAAAACTTTATACTTAGGTGACACTCATGTGATGTTACTGAGTATCACAGTTTCAAGGTGGGGACTTTTGTTAAGTCGTTCATCAGACTTGCAGCAGATTTAACTATGTAGTGAAAAATGAGCAGAGCAGTGTTTCACAGTTTTCTCCTCATTTATTGCTAAACACGGAGCTGAACTAGAGCATGACCGCTCTCTGTACATGCTTCACCTGAACTGCACATCTTGCATGATTATGTCACACGCTATATCACATACAAGAGATTGACTGAACCATACAGCATTCCATATAATAATAAGAGAGTCATATATTCACATTTAACACCTTTTCAAAATGGAAAAAGTAAGTCAAGTCAAATTACAGTAATGTTAGTCTGTCTGGGTTGAGAAAAAATATAGTCTCATTTGTGTAGATAATCATGAAGCACCAGATACAAAAAGAAACAAAAGATTTTGGATGATGAATGCTGGCCAACTTTCTTATCCTAATATAAATTCGGGAATCTTGGCCATATGCCAGTAATCCTCTGTGTAAGAACTTGTACAATTTGTTAATTTCTCAGCTACCCAGACTAATGTGGATGCGTTTTTGCTGCCTTGTTTAATGAGCTTGATCTAAGACATCTTGTAAAAGGTATCAAGAGAAATGAGACTCTGGCAGTATAAAGATTTTTCAAACACACGATTCAACTGAGAAATGTCTTTAATAATTAGAAGGTATGTGGTATAAAATTAGAAACATAAACCGTATTAAGTTTTTAACTATGTTTGTATATTCACTGTGGAAAATCCACTTCTGGATGCTGGCACAGAGAAAATTTAAAAGACACGCCAGTCAGAAACTATATTTTTCTTTAATGTTGATTGCTTTTCTATTTAGTTCTCTTAAATGTGCATTTCTTTTTATCTAAGATGCTGGAAAATGTACATCATGCTCTTGCTATCTTAAAAATTCTATATTATAATCCATCACTTTGATCACTCTTCTCTCCAGTTACAGAAAAAAGGATAAAACACACCTGCTGTGGCACAACGAGAATCCTGGCACAGAGAACTGTTGAACAATGAACATAAAAATAACTGTTGTGAAGCCCTCTGCAATAATAAACTCCAGAAACCACAGCAAGAGTTCAGCACAATAAGACTAATGTGACTCAAGGATGAGGACTTTTTTCCCCTCCTCTCTACTCTGAGTCTCCCAAGGAAAAATGCTGCTCTGTCTGGCCTCTGTCAGCCAAAAATCTTTTAGCTTTTTCTACCAATCAGCAGCCAGCCTCAAGACCTGCCCATAAGGGGTTTAGCCTGAAGTGACAGAATTTTGTGTTATCCAATCAGGGCCCTACTTTCTCACTACTTGCATCAAAGCACAGAGGTTAAAAAACCTCAACAGGGATTTCATGTAGAGCCTGACTGGCAGTGCCCTACAGGTCCAGAGCCGAGGGCTCAACAGGTGATTAATGCACTATATACTGCACTCATGAAATGAAGCACATTATGTTGCACATTTAATGCCGTTTAATGACTACATTAATGGAGTTTAACAATTCAAATTTGACCTAATATTTAACAAAATGTATAGGGAGGGGTTAGCCTTCCCAGTATTCCTGTATAATAATCGTACAAAAAAAAATAAAACTGTCATATGTAGACGCACTGTATATTTTGTATATATCCCACAAACCTTTTTCTTTCTTTGGCACCTTCCTCTCCTTTGACTATTTGAGCTGATGTAACGAGGACATTTCTCCACTGTGAGATCATTCAAGTCAATCAATCAATCAAGAGTTTACTCAAGAACATTTTTTGGTAAAAATTGTAAAGTTTTGTTGCATTTCCACTGTTGCTTCACAGTTCCACAAAACCTTTCTCTGACAGATAGTACAAATTACAAAAGGGTTTTAGAAAAGTTTAAAAACGTCTGGTGTACATTGTCAGTTTGACAGGTTAAAATAATCTTTTTTTTTTTTTTTGGGAAGTGCCATACTGAATGGCCTTAATTGATATAACCTCTTTTCAAATCAGAACACACCAAAGCTATTTATGGTACACTTACTCATTCACACATTCACACACAAGTGGCAAGCTGCATCAGAGCCACAGCTGCCCCGGGGCACAGTGACAGCAGTCATACTGCATTACATACAGTAGGTACTACCATACAAACAGTAGGTAGTGCAGGTGAAGTGTCTCACCGAAGGACCCATTGACTGAGATTTTTTTTTCCAGGTTAAATTATATATTTTCATGCATTTGTTCATGAAATGTCTTGAAATACAGCCTGTGTTTATTCCCCCCAAAAAATATTGAAAATAGTGAGCAAGTGCAAGATGCTAATTATTATTAATAATTATTGTTTCCTCTTTCTGTCTACAGTACATGAGACAGGTAAGCTCTGCCAGCCAAACACAAAAGATTAGATCTTAGCCAATAAACCACAGCTTGGTCTCCTTTGAAAGAATCACTGACAGGAGAAAGAAAACAACAATAGTTTATAATGTGGCTGGTAATACTTATAAACTCTCACAAAAAAACCTATACCTGTGTTTATTTAAAAAGAAAATGTCCCCTTTGCTTAGTTAATGTACATCCTGAAAAGACTGAAGTCCAAAGTGAAAGCTTTGACATCTCCAGGTAAAGTAGTTTTCTTTCATAGTTTATTATTTTGGGTGATTAAGGCTGACAAAGTTTAATTTAATAACATGACTGCGGCAAAATAGTTCAGCCAGACTCTTTTTTTTTTTTTACCACAAAAATAAATCACCTGGGTTAAGCTGCAAACTCAATTAGCCCCCAGAGATGCTATATTTTCCTTTCATGTGTAAAGTCAAAAGACTTTGTTCAACTTGGTAAGTCATTATTACATTATTAGAATTTGACTGTCTTTGCACAATACACTTTTCCCCATTAAATGCTTTTGTACCCTGCCTTTCACCTGATGACTGCTGAGGATAGGCATTAATCAGAATAAGAAAAATAACAATGTAATGCATGTGCTGAACTGAAGTATGACACGTTTTAAGATCTGTGTGTTCTGACATCTTAATCACTAAACAAGAAATAAACAAATACATCAGTTATCTGATTTTTATAAACTAGTGAGGCTGAATTAAATTGAACCTGATCTCAGTGGGATAACCTAAATTCCACAACTAAGGTAAGCCTTTTTACTTTTTCTACTAAAAAAGGACATATTTTGTTTGGAAATTGAGCAGTAAAGAAAATAAAGCAGCAAAAATCAACTTAAATGCACTGAAGCTTATCACTACAACCTTGCTTATTAAAAGGTTCCTGCTATTTTCCTATAAACAAACCTAATCTTTTAAGCTCACTGTCTCCACACACCTATATATCTTTAGAGCCTTTTGGCATTAATGTATATCCAAATTTGCATCCACCTACACAGAATATATTTCCATCACATACAGCACAAGAACTCTACTTTAGGATGAAACAAAGCATTGCATATCAGTCTAAAAATAAAGATTGCCATTTGATACATATCACATACATCCCGTTCACCCACACACATCTTTGATCAGGAAGGTGACAGATGAAATAAACACATGCTCATGATTCTCAAAGAAATTTTTCAGACTGTTGCCCTTGAAAAACATTTACATACATAGACCTAGTCTGTCCGTCTTCCTGTGAGCCTCACATTTACAAACATGAATATATCCACATACATATATATATATGAAGAGTTTTGTTCTAAAACCGTTCATGTTTTGCACAAAGATATTAAGATATAAATGATTGTAAAAAGATAATGTAACGCTTTAATAGTCTATATGGTTTTTAAAGAAATTTGTACATTGGAATATCATATATTTATGACAGTACAAACGAAATAATTGGGCTTTATTTTGAAAGAGCAAAGAACAAGGTTTTAGAATGTAAAAACTCTTCATACTCCATGCACATAAAATACATATTTTATTCATACCTCGACAGATAGGAGCAGGAAAATCCCAGACTGCAGTGTTTGCTGGATTGGTTATGCATGTCAGTGTGGCATGACCATCTAAGACATAACCAGGGACACAGCTGTATTGGACACGGTCTCCGACAGCAAAACGGCCACTGCTACTTAGCACCGCTTTAGGTGGAACACCTGGATTCCCACAAGATGTACTGTGCAGCTCTGTAAAAAAAAGACAAAACAGATGATTAGCTAAAAAAAAAATATGTTAAGCTTCAGCGTTAACGACAAACCAAAAAAAGAAAAAAAAAAAAACACAAAACAAAAAGATTACATTTTCGACCAAGATTTGTAGGTTGAAAATGTAACTTTTTTGCAAAGAGATGATTGCCTGCTAAAATTATCTGTTCTTTCTCCTTACCCTCCTGAATCCTTGAGCACCTGTTACAAATTTCTCCCCTGTAATTACTTTTTCCATTTACCAGTCAAAAATTCCACGTATTGAAATCTATTTTTTTTCCTGGAACTGAAAAGTCACAATTTAATTTTTCACTTTAGAGTTAAGCTGACTGGAAAATAAATAAAAAATTACAAACAGCATTCTACAGTCGTTTTAAAGTTTGAGACTCTATTCTATGCTTCAAGTCTGCTTTTCACTGATGCAAATGTATGGTTATCAGGCCTGCTTTAAGAATCATTAAGGTCTTTGATGAAGGACTGGCCTGTGACTTAAAAAAAAAAAAGAATCATCCTGCTCAGTACAAAGTTTTTTATTTTGACATTTTTTATTTTTACTTTGGTCAAGGAGACTTGACCAAAGTGCCTTACTCATCATTCAGTCATTCACCCACACACTCACACACTGATGGTGACAGGCTGCAATGTAGCCACCGCTGCCCTGGGGTTCACTGACAGAAGCGAGGCTGCCGTATACTGGTCCCACAAGGCCCTCTTACAACTATCAGGGGTCAATGTGGGTGAATATATGTTCATGAGTGAGGGATAAATAGAGCAGCTAAAATGAGGTTTCTCTACAGGGTCACCGGGCACTTCTTTAGTGATAGCGTGTTAAGCTCGTTCAGTTGGGAGAACCTCAGAGTAGAGGTGCTTCTCCTTGACTTCGATAGAAGAAGCTGAGGTGTTTTTTTTTCCAGATGGATGCCCCTAGAGGCCCGGAGGAGGCCTGTAGGGGAGAGGGAAGGTTTGGAGTCTCTACTGAGACTCCTGCCCACATGACCAGGTTAGCATGAGGTGACACATAAAGAGTACGAGTACAAGTACCAGTATGAGAATAGTATTTTCCCGTTTGTTTTGGAAATTGACCAGATAGCTGCAGTTGATCTAGAATACTGCTGCCTGCAGCCTCACTAACACTAAGAAGGAAAAGCACATTGCTTTAGTTATAAAGTCCTTACACTGGCTTCCTGTACTGAAAGGAAAACTTTAAAAAAACTTCTGCTAGAATCGAACTACAGTTGATACTTGTTGTCAGCCTATCAACCAGACCTTTCAGGTCTTCTGGGCCAAGTTTTTCCGCCCACCTGGCAAAAAAACAAACATGGAGAAGCAGCTTTAACTTTTTATGCTCCAGTAATCTGGAATAAACTCCCAGATAATCCCAACTTAGTTTATGAACCAACTTATTATTCATTGTTTTATTATTCACTTATATTCATAATTTTATCTCATTTAACGCTGTTTTGTTATGCTTTATCATATTATGACGAAAAAAACTTTTTTCCACTGTTTTTAGAGCAAATTGAATGATCCTAATGCTCTATACATATAACTGGTAATGCCTCTATAAGTTCAGTTAGCATCATTGCATAGCATATATATTTTGTTTATTGGGCTTTAATAGGCACGCCTTAAATGAAAACCAATCCGTCCCTTGGACACAAAACCTCTCTCCTTTCTGAAGGCTATGATTGCTGGACTTTCAAAATGCTCTTTATACAAACATATAATGGTTTAAACTATACATTTTGCACCTCTTGTTATCTGGAAATGCTACCTATGAGGATGGATTAGACTTTTGACATCCATAATTCTCTCGCTCATGTTCAATAAATCCCTTTGGAAATCTTAACTAATGGTACAACATGGAATGTTTAGTCTGAATGACAGAGAGGGAGGAAGGAATGTTGTGAATCTGTGTGTTTGAATGCTCAACACTGTTTTGACCAAAGCAGCTCTCCAATGTGTAAAAACTGAAAATGTTAAACTAAATTTTCCTAATAATTTAATTATTCATTAGATCTTTTTACACAAAAGAAACATTTTAGCTTTATTGATAAGATGGTAAAAAAAAAATACATGCACACACCCCTGTATGTACTGTAAGCATTTCATTAGTAGTTATACTTAGTTTAGTCCACAGAGAGGATAAAAAGAAAAAAAAAAAGCCAGAGGCAAATGGTTTTGCTAAAGACCCTAAGAGAAATCCCTCCAACCACCCTGCTTATCTCCACACACAGTGACAGAGAAACATACACTGATGAGACATACTTGGATACAAGCACATGGGTACACACATACACACACACAAACACTAACAGGGTCATCCATCACTGTAGCGATCCCCTGTGTTGTATTGTGATTGGATGTCAGGCTGGCCCAGTGTCGCGACCTGTTGGCCTATCGATCTAGCAAGTCAGCATGGCCCCACTCATTGTCAGAATGTTTGTTCTTCAGTATCCTATCAGGCACACATTTACTTTCACCAGCACATGCACTTACAGTACACACAAGAAATGACCAATTCCTATTTGTTTCTAAAATGTGCTATTGACAGAATTTCCATTTTAGCCATTTTGCTTTTAGCCCCCATTTCATCATCTCTATAATAAACTTTTCTTGTATTTTCTGGCTCATTTGCCCCCATCCGCCTTTCTTCAAGCTTTTTCTCTACAGGAGAAACATCACCCATTTACTCCAACACCAGGGAAAGATACAATCAGCCCACATTCCCACGTGCAATGACATTGTATCAGCTGTGGATATTTACAGGCTCTGGATCAGCAGTGATTGAAGTCTAGTATCGAGGGGGATACAAAATCCTCTTGGCATAGTGTAGTGCATACAGTGCAAAGACTAGATTTAAGGGTTTATGACCATATGTTCCCAAACTGACAGCAGAGGAAACCAATTGATTGAAAATATCCAAAGAGTCTATACTGTCTGTCAGTTCATGCTCAGGCCCAAGTTGGCCCAAGTTGCACAGCTGTCTTTTGCTGTTAATGGTTATAAACTGCTAATTCAAAGGAGAGAAGGGGCATCGGACCATTGGGGCTGAACTACCAGGGTGTCAGTCTGCTTATCAAACTATGCTAAATTCATAAAGGGTCAAATAAAAAGGTTATTGTTACGATATTTTACAGTAAACACGAATGTCTGTTTAAAGACAAGTGTGGACGGATTCAGGACACCTAATGAATTCTGTGCCAACTAAACCCACTGAACTTTATCCAAGGTTAGATACAGTAAACCATTTAACCCTGTCAGTCAGATTTACAGAAAAAGCAACCTCCATATTGAAGCTTAACAATCAGTTAAACTGCACAAAGTTTATAAATACATATTTAAACTGATTGCAAACTTTCAACCCTTGCAATTACTTAATTATGATGTATTGTTACTGAGAGTAAATGCTTCCTTGTCCTCTAACTGAAGGTGGTGGCATTAAGAATCTTGTTCTGTTGTCCTTTACCAGTTGAATTATTTATTCCACTGTGTAGCTTTTACTTTGCAGTTGAATAAAGGGCTGGTTTGCTAATTTAAATGATTCTGGAAGATTATAAGGCTTCAATTTAATGCAGTAATGTATTTTTATCACCTTTATTGTCATCATAGATTTAAGACAATAGCAGGGAGATCAACTTTGTTTTTGAAAGTCACACCTGCCTGATATTGGGGTCCGTCACAGCCTGGGGTAAAGTCAGATATCATCTCTACTCTACTGCAGTGGAGGTCCAGCAGGTTAATTCTATGTGCTTGGCTAGCATTATATAAAACACATCACATATATGTCTGATTTTGAAACAAAAAGAAATGTAACTAATCATTTTTTTGTCTTATGATCATGTGTTTTTTCCACCAATTTTCACCTGAGGTAAAAAAAAAGAAAAAAAAAAGTGGTAATTCCTAGAGCAGAAATCTATCTTTCCTCTCTGTCACTTTACTTTAGGAATCAAGCAGTTTCAATAGGCTACATTATTTAGTTTTCAAATAGTGGATACTTGTTTCTCATTGTTTATTACAACCTGCCTTCTCTCATTTATTCTCGTATACCTACACTTCTTTTAAAACCAATTCCTCTTTATCTTCCTACCTATTTATCCCCACCTCTCTTTTTATTTTTCACTCTCTCCCCAGTTCCCCATAACCATGATTTCAGTCTCAGTTGTTTCATTACAAGCTGCTGCTTTTATGGGCCATCTGTAGTACTATCTACATTTGTCATTTATGCAGATGCACTCACACTCACAAATGTAATGCCCACAGACTATCACACAACAGAAACTCCACCAGTTACTTTATCTCTCATCCTTTGCTACATTACCATTTATCTTTAATTTCTCCCAAGATGAGCAATTAATGAGTTCACATTACAGTGTAAAGTAGAGATGAGACAAAAAGCAAAAAACAAGGATGCTAATGAAAAAAATTAGAAGCATAAACACAAGGAAAATAAAATACTTTGTTCTTTTTTTTTCTTTTAGAATTCCAGACTCAAATTCAGACAAATAAATGGATGGATATATGGAGATTTGGATTCCTGGGCAATTAGATGAGTGGAAAAGTGTATCAAAAACAGATAAGAGTTTTTTTTTTTATCTTTTTATACATACAGTTCTAGACCTTAAATGCACTTGAATTAAGCTTTCCCCCTTCCATATGGTGAAGGATCCCTGTGGAAGGTTTGAAGAATGAAATGCCAGAGGGAAAATTGAAAATGCTCCCCTGATTTTTAGGGTTTTTAGTGAGACAGATGATCTGGCAAACCAGAGAAATGGAGAGTGGGAGTGAAGGACAAGGAAGACAGAGAGCAAAACAGAAAACAGGAAGGAGTGGCAAAGAATAAGAGGGATGATTCATTGAGTCTAGAGGTTTTACACCTCCGTCAGCAGTACTTTTCATATAAAAGATGAACTGTGTTTTATACATGAACAGAACAGGTGCTGAAATGCTTGAATACACAGCACAAATCTGTGCAGGGCACC